ATGATGTTTTTTTTTTCCCTTATCTCTTCTAATTAAGATTCCAAAGTGGGAAGAAATAGGATTAGACAGAGTCTCAAAACTGTGTTCCTCTTAAGGTGGTATGCACTTTTGATAGGCTCACTATGACATGTGAAATATATAGAGCATAGTATTAAACCAACTTCTGGAGATTCCGTGAATCCTATATGACCCTACTATATGCCTACATCACTTGGGAATTAAAGGTCAAGTATAGGGATGGCAATATAATGAACACACTAAAATGTAAACATGTAGAAAATGACATTATCATTGTTAAAGAATGCTAATGTGGGTTTACTTCTGACAAATAACTTCATCTATATGAACAGATGCCTATGTTCCACTTAGGTTTTGTTCTTGCTAACTGCAGTATATCTGGGAACTGAAATACCAACCAATATTTGTGGAAGGCATCATTGTCAGAAAAGGTACACTGGACTATATGGTCCATCACCCTACAACTTAATAATGCTCCTGAGCCAGACATTTATATTTGAATTATTTTATTTTTGCGTCATAACTTTGAATTGATAGGTAAGTTCACCATCGCCCCCGCCTCTAGATACAGTAAATTTATAGTTACCTTTCCACTTCCCATTTAAAACCTGGAAAGGCTGTTGAAAACATGGAGGCATGAAAGGAGACCAGGCACCAAGCTACCACGCAGTGCTCGAGACTGTCCAACACATCAGAGGGACTGACACCCTCGTACTTCGCAAGAGGCCATGCTATTTCAATAAGTAAAAATTTCAGATCATTCTACTAGATCAAGTACACTGTAGTATTATATAAGGCTAATTTATACTGACGGCTATACTATTCTGGTCTTAATACTTAAGAATAAATGTTCTAAGTAAGTGTATCAAACATAATAGTTAGTTAATAAATGCTAGTTGATCAATTATTCTGTGAGAAAAAGTTCTTGGTGATTGGAGAGGTACTGAAGTCCTGTCCTCTGGATTAGGGGAAGAGCAGTACAAGACAACCTTGATTAAACTTGATTTACTTTGATTTTCTAAACTCTCAGTATTCATTTAGTGTACAAGATTCGCATAAATACACTATTTATGATAATTACTATTTTTGGACCAATTAAAGCCTACAGAAGTATTGTTCATCCTTATATGGAAAATTCGCAGTGAATGGTATATGTCTTTCACAGATTTCAGTGTCACCCAGTAACCACAATTTCCCACTGGGACTTAGAAACATTAGAGCTGGAAAACTGTCCCATTACCAAAGCAGAAACCCTGTTTATAATAAACTTAATAAAGGTTGGAACTGTAATAATATGTTATTATCATTTATATTAGAAAATTAGATTACTATGTGTCAAGATATGATCAAGCTGAACGTTACAAAATCAAAATAGCAAAATAATATCAAATGCAAGTAAAAAAGCTGCTGTTAGGCTGTCATCAAATTAAATGCAGTCACATTTCAAATTCCACCAAATCTTATTGGTTTATATATCATAATTATATCATAATTACTAATAGAAAGAAAAAATTGGTTAATGCTAATCCCAGCATTAGAGAAGCAAAAATTACAGAAACTAAAGAAAATATAAGTCTAAGCAATTATTTCAGCTTCGAAGTGAGGCTATGTACCTAAGTTACACATCTTACAGAACTCCACTGTGAAGGGAGTATTATAGGTCACTTGATCAGTGGAACTTATATAATATGTATAGCTGTATTATTTGGACTATTTTTAAAACTCCATAATTTATCTATATTACATATATTTCAGCAAAGATTTTATTATCTACTAAATCTATGATTCTATTCTTACTTCTGGGATACATACAAGGATGAAAAAGACAGTTTCTGTATATTGAATCTATTATTACATCTTAGGAAAGCCTTTTGCTATAAAATATTTCATCATTATATAGAAAATACAAACATAAGGCCAAGGAATAAGTAGTATATTATGGTTAATCAAATATGCTAGAGAGTTACCAAGTACAGTTTACAAGGATTATCAATTTTCAAAGAATTGGAAAGCTCTTTCTTTTAACCTGAAGCCATATTGAAGCAACCTGAAACTTCCTTTTTTACTTATCCAGGGTGCTTACCAGGATTTTGGTGTCATGATTCTGGATATGATTCTGCTCTGGCTTTTGCAGAGGGGCTAATTTATAGAGCTTTATAGTTGGTGAATACTAGGTAATAGTAAAAATTTACTGTGATTAGATAAATGCTTCCACTTGAATCTGGACAATACCAATCCACAACCCAAAAAGGAAGAAATACTCTCCTCCAAATCACTTGAAGAATTTAGAGATTACTGGTTAAAGTTGCTCTACCTGTTAGAGGCCCTTGGTGGCTGTTAGTAAAAATATATTCAGTTTTCATAGATAAGAATGGCAATGATTTAATCAATCAAAGAATAGGTACCCTAAAAATAGGGATGAGGGTGTTTGCCTGTTTCTTTTGCCCCTTGTTTCCAACCATGGCACCTTTTAAGACCATGTGATGGGCAGTAAATTCCAGCATGGAACAATCTACCTGCACGGAATCAGAAAAGCTTTTTCTGCTTTACCTGCTAAACCACCTTTCCCTCCTGCAAGTAAGATGCAGACTCAATCCTGGTGTACTACAGCCTCAGACTTGACAGACAAGGAGAGCGAACATGTTTTTTAAATATCAGGGCAATTTTAAAAAATATTTATTTGTCATGCATATTAAAACACTGCCACTTGATGGATAATTTTTCCCCCAAAAAAGGAATCCTCTTGTTTCCAGTTTCCATAATATATCACCAAAGACTTGGTTTCTGTTTGGATATGCATTTTACAATGTACAATGCTATATTAAAAGCATTTAATCCTATGTGAACCACATGGTTTTATCCTGTTATAATTATACCTATATGTACTTCTATTAGGTTTGTTTGATTCTTTAATTTATATTTTTTCTAATCATCAAATTGAATTTTATGGCATAAGTAAATAAGTTACTTAGAATGTGTTTTACCTGTATTTCTCTATATAAAAAAATTGTATTGATTATGAAAAAGGTAAAGGATTTGATCAACTTTTTAAAAAACAACCATGTACTTGTGTTTTGTTTTCAAATATTGCTGTGCAACCACAGGGTGACCAATTGTGATGGTTCTCTTAGTTTAGAATAGTGGGAAGACAAGACAGGAAACAGAACAGAGACCTGTGTGGTTAATGAAAGATCTTTTATCCACTCCAATGGCAAAATGTGGTCACTTTTAGAACCTGAAGTTATTCAAAGGACAGGGCCCCCTTGACATTATCTAAGTCCTTTATTTCTACCCCCTCATCCCCAAAATAAGACCCAGTGTGTGTGTGTGTGTGTGTGAGAGAGAGAGAGAGAGAGAGACAATAAACACGATTCACATTGCTGTGCTACTCTTCTCTCTGGGTGCAACATTTTTTTCACCAGGCAATCTCCTTGCTTAGTTCATATGGTGACACACACGATACCTTAGACCTGATTGTCACAACATTCATCTTGGGAAAAAGGCATCATATGGAACAAAAAAACTTATAACTTTCATGAAAAATACAAATTCAATTTAAAAGAAAATGACGAGGCAGGCTTTTCTTGGGACACTAACAACCGTAACTTTATCCCTCTAGAAGTCTGAATGTCGTGGTAAACTTCTCAACATTCTGTCAGAAAACTGAAACAATGTTTGAACAATTACAGTGCTGGGTTCCATTTCAATGGTTTCTTCTGAGAACTAAAGCAAATTAGCTCAAGAGTCAGTATTTCCACCCTCTGGTTCTTGTGGCTTTAAGTGGCTTTTGAAGGGAGCACCCAGATGAGGCACTTCTCACACTCCTGCAGACACGACCTGCTCGAAGAACTGGCTGCCTGATTAACTATTAACTGCTCTCAATAGGATTAGATAATTAAGGACATCGATGACCATTAATTAGGAGGAGGGCACATTAATTTGTCACTGGATAGGGCCCTTACAATGATTTATAGGTTAGTGCTACTTGCAAATGTGAAGGGAAAGAGAAAAAGAGAGAGAACCATTAAGTCACCTTATCAAGTGGCCAGCTCAAGAGGGCAGAGGGTCAAAAAAGGGCCAAAGTGGTCACTTAAGGGTGAAGTCCCAAACACCAAAGCAGTGCCAAGCCACATTGACCATCATTTGGTGATGAAGTTAAAAATATGCTAATTTATTGGTGGCAATTCTCTCTTTTTATGGTTTCAAGCAGTTAAGACAAGTGGCCTGCTTAAGAGCTTTTCATTTGAAAAGAGATTAAACAAAATGGTTTGTCAAGGCTGCTTGGCTGTTTTATGTCTTTGTTAAAAAAAATTGCACCCACTATACTGATAACTATCACACCACCCAAAAGCCATCTCTCTCTGAGCATTTATTTCCTTAATAAATACGTCAGCTCTAATTGCTTAATAGTGCTATGTTCATTTGCTCTTCAGCAAGATTAAGTTGAAATAAATCTTTTGTACTACTACTTTCTGTCCCTATTGCTTGCATAAAGGTCACAAAAAAGGTTTAAGTTTTATAGAAAATTTACATAAAGACAGTGGTGTAAATTATACTTTGTCTTATTCAGCATGGAAAGCAGAAAGGTGATTTCACTAATAGTAAAGAAAACTGCTTTTAGAATGTAGATAAGGAACACAATTGTGGGTAGCATTCACATTCCACACACAAATAAGCACAGCTCATTAACATTGAATTAAATATGCTTTGGAAAGCCTCGGAAATATCCACGTCATACTTATAAGTTTAGAACTTACTTTTAATAGACATTTGAAACAAAATCATTTGCTGTACTCTAATGATACACCATTAAAATAAAAGAAAAAGTAGGATAGTCTAAAAAAATTATTTTGTTACACCAAAAGAACTTAAAAATATGCAACATCATCTAAGAATTGCACTAACGTAAAAAATACATGTTTGTGTAAAGAGATACTATTTACCTCAAGACTGTGAACTGAAATATAAAAATTCTCTCTTACCTCAATGGTGAATAGCTTCCTTCTTAATTTGAAAGCTAAGTCTTTGACATCTGATACATCACCAATCAAATTATTAAGTCGAGGAATCTGCCGTACATGAATCAAACCTTGTGGGAAGGAAATTAAAAGAAAAAAATAAAAAAGGCTGTCTTGGATGCATAAATTAAAGAGGCTTACAGCAGAATCCTGTAAATTTACACACAAGCATCCTCCCCTTTTAAAACTGGAGCTTACTACCAGGAGCAATGAAGCAAATGGTGTGATTATACTCAAGTAATCAAGCAGAATAAGATAAACAGAAATCCTTGAGCGAGGAAAACTAATTGCACTTTGGTACAGAAGTGCAGATGTAAAGAGGGGTCTTAATACTTGTCAAAACTACGGCCGGTTTGCGTGCGATTTTCTCTTGTGTTTACAGTAAGCAAATATGGCTATCACCTTGCACGCTGCCCACGGCACCACTGAGTGATCTTTATTTTATTAAATGCACCAGTAAGCAGGCAGCAAAACAAGGCTTATGGGTTACTGACAACTAGTGAAGCACTAATGACAATATTTCATTTTCTATCTTATTAATGACTTGAACAAACCATTGAAGAAACTACATTTCAGAGCACACTCTAGGATCAAACATTAACCCCTATGCTATCCCAAGACACTCCTTTCTGTGCATGTCAGACCTTGATGTAGCTGTTAGAAGCTTTGTAACACTGCTAGGTAAACCACAAGCTCTGGCCTCTCGTCAGCAGAAACACTTGCTAATTTTTTCTGACAAGAGCACTGGATGGCTTTTGTGCAGCTTAATGCAGTTTCTGTCTACACTCGGGGTCATCTGCCACAGTGAAGACATGGCAGACTCTTAGTGCATCTCTGCCTGACTCAGCCCATATTTAAAAACCACCATCCCAAAGACAGTGACCCCTAAGAAGGCAAGTCCAGATTTGAACAAACTAGATAAATCTTATTTACAAAACCGCTTCTCTAGTGTACGGTTTTGTGTGTGTTTGAATGCTGCATAATGTATTAGTTCTAGCTTAACAGGGTAAACCTCCAGGTGCTTAACTTTAGAAACGGCTCCTTCAAAAATAATTGGACTAAAATACTCAACTTAATTCTTTAAACTTAAAAAAATGTAAAAGATGTTAAGTAGACAGCTTTTAGACACAAATTAACAATATTTAATACAGGGCTATTTAGTAAAATATATTAAAGGTAAGCTCACCAGACTTTGGTTTGCACTTCTCATCTGAACTCTGCACGTGCTTGTTTAGGTAACTACTAAATCAGGGGGCCTTAAAGATGAAGGAATGATTCATAATGTCCTTCTTATTAACAGAAAGTGTACTCGTCATCAGAACCACCCCCTCCTCTGTGGGGAATAATTTATTAATTCAGAAATTTCAGCACAAAAAATCATAGTCTTTCAACCCCTGAAATGTTTTAATCAAAATAATATTTGTTTAATATAAAATGTAATTTCATTAAATCTATAAGATCATAATACTTACAAATGATACTCAGATATAATTTGTTAAGGTAATATTTAACTTGAATTGTTTTAAAAGAAAATGGAAATAATAATAAAGAAATAATTTATGCAGTTATAAGATAGTTAACTAAGTCCTGGGGATGTAAGGCACAGCTGGGGACTAAGGTTAACAATAATGTGCTGCATATTTGAAAGCTGCTAAGAGAGTAGATCTTAAAAGTTCTCATCACAAGAAAAAAGTCGTAACTCTATGTGGTGATGGATGTTAACTAAGCTTACTGTGGTGATCAATTCACAATATGTACATCTATCAAATCATTATGTTGTACACCTTAAACTAATACAAAGTTACATGTCAATTATAGCTCAATAAAAATCTTTAAAAAAGAAAAAAGGAAATAGTTTAATCTTAATAGCTCTCTTACTATCATAGTGACAATAATATACTAAATGAACTGTATACATATGGGGTTAATCTGAGTACATACCAAAAGCACACTTATGCAAGTAAATGATCATAAGGCAAATTATTTTACGGAGCTTTTGTTCATAACTTATATTTTCTAGACTTTTAAAAAAATACTTGATTGTTAGATTGTGCTATTTTATTTTTTTAAAGGTTGTATGCTGACTCCTTAACACACTGGTGATTATCATATAAAGTATCTTATAATCTTATTTTGTAGAATCTAGAAACTGCCACAGTCCTATAATCACAATCGTGTAGCAGGCTGCAAATAAGCTATTCAGTCTTTAGACTAGAAGCTTCCATGGAAGTATAGTATTCCACAATAATAACAGCAATAATTAACATTCACTCAGCAGAAGTAAACAGGCAAAACTCTTACGCACCACACTCTACACTCAGTTTACAGCTAAAACACACATAACTACTAAGGCTTTCTTATTGCAATAGTTCCATGGAACAACTTTCATTAAAAAATCCCCAATTAACCAAATGACTAAAATACGATTAAAAGCTCCAAAAAATATAAGTAAAAAGTCTGATTAATTGATCTGTGATTACACTAGGGCGGCAATATTTTAAAATTTGTTCAAATTCAAACAACAGAATAAGCAGAGAAAAGTCCAAATACAATCAAAGATGTTCACTTTCTGAAAATATGATTGACTAGGACTTTTAAATATTATACAGTATGAGTTCTGTTTATCATACAGCTAAGCCTTGGAAAGTATAAGCTGCTACACAAAGCTGTTATTATTAGAATTAATGATATTTCTCTCAAACAGAGCTAATAAGCACAGCTGTTTTCATGGCAACTTGAGGCCATTGGGACGAGATGTGTGTCTGACTGAGCCTCAGTACCCGGGTTTGAGTCCTCGGTCACCGCAGGCTGTAGTCTTAATGGAGTTTGGGGACAAGCTGCCATGAAGACTGGCCAGGAATGGAAACCATTTAGCAGAAATACTATAAAGTAAAATTCATGCTACTTGACAGTAGATTTTATGACTGGACAAGATGCTTCCAGGGGCCCTAGGGGCAGCCAAGCCACACTCTTCTACTGAAGGAGCTGCTTACCGTGATACTCCTGATATAACGGGTTCGTTTCTCTCTCAGAACCAATAAATGATTCTAGACCAACGACTGTATCCGACAAGTTTGTAACACGAGCTATGACTGCTTTATTCTGTAAAACAAGGAAACAAAACACTCATGTTATGTTTAAAAATATAACATCTATACAGCGCCATTATGACATCTCAATGACAAATTGTAGAGGAGACAGACTATCAACATAGAGAAATAATTTGAAAGTTAAAGCTACCACAGGCCGAAAACTGGATGAAAAGATGCCCTAAACTGCAAAATCTTGCCCATGGAGGTCGGACATTCGGATTCAAAAAGCTGAGGGGGCATACCTTAGCTTTGTCAGGAAACATAAACTGACGATTTCTCTCTGGCCTTAAAGGGCAAGGCTACCTTTATTTTCATACGCTATTATTTTTCAAACTACTTGACCCATTGCCTGTGGGAAAGTCTAACAGACATCAGGATTGAGAAGAAGTAGATAGTACAGGATATGGTGTTAAGTCAAGTCCCACTAGCATCTGTCAACGGGGACCAGGTCCCAATGCTCCAACAGCTGAGGTCCTCTGTACCCTGTCAGAAAAATGGAAGGGTCCAGCTAAGAGATGCAGCATGGCTAGCTCTGGAGTCTCTGTTCTCTCTTTCCAGATGCTGCTGTTTGGCTCTGGGATCACAATAAAGGCAAAGTGAGGCTGGTAGATGACTAGTATTAGACTAGTGGCCTACCTTTCCTTCCCAATACAACCCAACACAAGGAAAATACTGCTAAACAATACATTGCAAAAAAGGTCACATTTTAAGGAGCTAAAGTTCTAAAATACCCAGAATTTCACACCATAAAAATACAATCATTGAAAATACGATCATTAAATACCCTGCAGGTTTTCTTAAATTATTTTATTTAATAGAAATTCAGTATTTCTTTTAGCCCCTGACAGGATGGTAGGACAGTAAACTGTTTTACATGGTACACATCTTAGAAAAAGTTTTGCTCTGAAGATCTAGATAAGTTGAAAATATTGTGGTTTGCAAAATTTTATAATTTTGAAACTCCTTTTATACACTGGTTATGTCTAACAGTTTAAAAGTCATCTTCAAAAAAGGGATGGGAAATGTAAAACATTTAAGAAAATTTATCAGTCTGATGTTACGTCCCCTGTTAAAGTCCAAATATAACAAATATGTTCACTTTTTGAAAACATGATTGACTACGGAGCTTACTGGTATTCCTCTGTTTCTTAAGTCCTCTTGTAAAGATTGCATAGGAATGAAGAATATGAGGGCCAGTGGATGTTATCTGACTCGGCCTGAAATACACAGTAGCCTCTGTCACTAAATATTACATGAAGTGACAGGTTACCTCACACCTAGGACAGCATTTGAAACTCCTCCATAAGTAGAAATGTGTTACATAAGGAATGTTTAAGCCTTTGAATCAGTGCTATTAAAAGGAACCAGTAAAAATAATTATCCTTAATTGTCTTTAATTCTTTCAATCACCTGGGTACCAAGTATAGAAAGACAAACATAATTTGGAAATGCCCATTTTTTCTAAGGCCATTTTTCATTCGATGGTGAGAAAATAATCCAGATTGATTCCTTACTTTCAGTTCTATGCCACAGGGGACAGTCCTCCTCCAGGAATAACAGGGGCTTCAGAGGCCATAAGCATGTTCCTCTCAATATTTCTTTAGCCAAAGACCATTATATCAAACTCATCCAGGTTGGGTTTCAGCCAGTTATTCTTCACCCAAACAAAAATGTCTGCCAGACATTCCAACAGCTGGGAGACAGTTCACAATGAGTCGACTTGAAAATGATTCATTGTGTGAGTTTTGAACAATGTTGGGGTGGGGGCGGGCTGTGGCTGGGGTGGTGTGGAGGGTGAGAACAAGTGGGAGACGAGGAAAAGCCATGTGGTTCTCCCGCTCAGAAGAATCTTCGGTAAGAACCACCAGCAGGCTCTTCTCATTTCATTTTAGGATAAACTCAACTGGGAAGAGCTCTCCCGTCATGGACCCTCAGATGAACAAGCACTTGTAAAGGCCACTGGCAGTGTTTCTTAATCAAAAGGTCAGATTTCCTTTGTCTATAAATAGAAGACTAAGGCTTTGTATCTAAATAGCTGAATCTAAAATGATAAAAGTCAATTTTTGTGAGAACTCAACTATACAGAATTTCAGTGATATAAACTAGGGCTTTCTCAATTCTCTGAATAACAGAAGCTGTGAGCTGTAGGATGGGATTAATCTCCATTCTAGCTGTATACAAGCAGGGTCCTGTGCCTTTAAATGGCCAACCTGACATCTGTTTACTTCAAAGAAGGTTTTTTTCCTTAATTTAACGTTAAAATTTACTAATAAACCTCTTACCATCTGTAATGTTTGTCAACTTCATAGGTCTTTTTAAGGCAATTTATGGGAGATTAAAAAATATTAATTATCCACTTTATAGAGGAAAACTAATAAATTCCAAATATAAAAGATGTGTATGGCTTAGATTTAAAAATCTCACAAATTCATTTATATATTTCATTTGTTACATTTCTACGTTCCACAGGTTTACATTACAGTTATTAACTACAAACTACAGTCTACTTTAAAAGCTTTTGTGAAGTATTAGAACAAGAGTAAACTTTTAATCATTACCGTAAAATAAGTTATATTCAACAATGACCTTACTGCTTTCCGCACAGCAGTTTTGGAAAATAGTTTATGTAATGTGGGAAGCCAGATTGTGGAAGTCGTATAGATATCTGAAAAATGTCTACGGAATAAAAAGCACTGGAAATTATATAAAAATAACATCTAAGTTCCCGACTGACATAACCTTTGTCTTAATTATAAACTCATTCAGTCTTCCAGTTATTTACAGGAGCATAAAGGACATTTGAGAATGTAAATGCACGTGTTTTTTAAAAATCTAAAATAGTGTTAGAGATTACCTCTGTACCTCTAAGATTCACAGGGACTATGGTGTATTGATGCAATCATGTCTTAAAACCACTTGTGCCAAAAGATCTTTCAAATCATAATATTAATACTAAATGGTCTTTTAGATAAAGGTAGGTGAATTTTCTTAAAGAATCTAAAATTAAAGGCTTTAAGAAAATCCTTAAAAGCATAATAATCATAATTCACTTCAGGAGGAATACACTGTGGCCAACAAACTGTCATAAAATAAACCTCAGAGCTCAGAAAGCTTTAGCATAATGATCTGAGCAGAGGCCTTGAAGCGGGGCTTCCACATTCTCATCTTAACACATTCTAAGTGTTTTTATGTTATTAGCCAAGACGTGAAAACTTCTTGATCTACAGTCTACGTAGTTGGAAATGGAGAAGTAAAGGCATCTGTGCATCAATTACCTAGACATAAATTCTGGATAGTTTTTGTGTTCATTTTGAAGTTGCTACATTACAGTTTCCACTAAGAAACATCTGAGGAAGGACATTCAAGATTCACCAGTAGGAGTAAATTAATGGTTATACTTCAGCATGGCATAATCACATCACCCAAGTATGTACAATGATATGCCACCCTCCTTCTCGCCCATCTGGATGTGAAACTCAAGGATGGCTCAAAAATCCTTCTTATACCAGACAAATCTCCCTTCACTCCTGGGGCAAAGTTGTCAGCTCTGGATGGCAGCCAAGACATGGCTAGGAGGGAAGCCAGGAGAGAGGAGAGCCGGTGTCCAGGAGTCTTAGGAGTGTGCTGGCAGTCTCAAACAGCATTGGATTAAGTCACATAAAGGGTTCTTAAAACTTTCTATCGCAGTGCAATTTCTCAATTAATTACTTAAATTTAAATCCTGTCAAATGTTGCTGCAAATAAAAAAAGCAAATCAGATTGTCCAGTCTACTACCTTCTTACTCCAATTTTAATCTCACAAAGACCCCAGAGTTTTGTTTGGATTGCTCCTTGTTTGGTCTCAGAGAACGTTTCCTGTTCGCTTTTATGGAATGATAGTCTCTTTTTCTTAGGATATGCCAAATCCATTAGATGGATTGTAAATAAAGGAAGATTAATTTAAGGCTCCCTTCCAATTCAAAAATAAAGCAAAAACTAGGAACGTTGTTATGAGATAAAAATTCAACTACTGCCATATAAAGCTCCTTGCATTTTCTAATAACAATGCTTGAGATACCTATTTAGAGTAACCAAGTAACAGTGAGGACACCTCAAGCTCTGAATATTTCCTTACCTTTTGGGCCTCATTATCTCAACAACAGATATAGCTTCCACCAATACAAAATATACTTTCAGGAAAGATTTTTGACAAAAGAATTCAAAAGTAATTAACCAATCACTTAATTATCAGGAAGCTTGAAAGGAATAAACCAACTGATATGAAGCATTTACGTAATGCCTCAAAGAAGAATCAGTCTTTGGGGTCCTCAGATAGGAAAGACAGCAGAGACACACTATGAAGGGCAGGGCTCCCGCTGGAGTGTGGCACAGGGCCACAAGAGCATAAGAGCACTGAGAGCAATGTCGAAAAGCCAAAGACATACTGAAGTTACTCGACGTCTGACTCTACTACATGACGTGATGTGTGCTGGGGGAGGGAACCCTCACAAGAAAAGCAAGTGTGCCACTCAACAGCTCATTATAACAACATTTTCTGGAAAACGATATGTATAGAAAAACAAACATACTAGAACCTAGGACGTTTCTTTGTCATGTAATCAAAAACATAAACTTGGATAAATGGATACATCTAGGGATATTTAATGAGGTATTTGTTTTCCCATGCTTAAGTTCTTCATTCTATAGAAATTGAGACTATGAAATAATAACATTATTAATACTGTTTGTAGTTTTTTACAAACCATCCCCACCTTCTCCAGAGTTGTCAGCTATTTCTTTGGATTACATTTTTATTTTATCAAAAATATTTGATAGTGGGGAAAATAATTCTGTTCATAACTGTTTTGAGTTTAAGAAGGAATATTATTTTATAAAATAAAATATATTAATAAATATCTGAAATGGTATTAATATTTTAATGAAGGTATTAGCTTAAATCTTCCCAGATTTAACACTGAACTTTATTCAAAGTCACACACAGTTAATTTTAAAATATAGAGGAACTTTAAT